GAAAAATTGCAAATTTTGCTAAACCATTTCTTTCATTATTTGGTAGTGCATTGCATGAAAATTCAACTTTGACTGACATTCTGTTCAACGTTTTGATTTGACAGGTTTGAGTCTGAACTTCTGACCCTTTTCTATGTGTTTGAATGTCAAAGATGGAAAGAAATGAGTAAAGGAAAAGGTAAGGAGTATTAAAGCTCATTTCCATCTTCTACTTACAAACACAAGTTTCGAATCTGCACCGTCTGTCCACACAACGTCTCCGCTTGTTTCAATAAGACATTGGTGAGACGTACTCATAACTCAAATATAGAGCATGCTTTTGCTATCATCTGTGATAAATGTGGTTTCTAAGGGTTAAAAAGGATGCATTTCAAGGCCAGCCATGTAAAAACATGCTCCCTCCAGCAGTTCTATGTGTGCAGAGTTTGTTATCGTAATGCAGGTGTCTCCTCAGCCTGTTCTGGAGGAGGCGGACCGTGCGCCTCCCAAAGAAAAAGAAACGGTTTGAGGAAAAGCAATTAAATCATGACTGGAGGGAAGGGCCCGAGCTGCAGCGTCTGTCAGAGTACATCTCCATTACCGCCAGCATCCAGCGCTGCAGTGGAGGAGCAGGGGCCAGGCCGGCACCTGCAGCCCACTCTCAGCAGCTCGCAGGTGGGCAGAGAGCGGAGAAATCTCCCCAGAGAGTGGAAGACCCTGGAGCATGTGTGTGTAATGTTCAGTGTGTGAAATCATTGGGGATTCCAGAGAGATAATACACAAGTTGAGTACTGTGCAAAAGTCAGAGACCACAATTCATTTACATTTACTGCCATGAAGTACAAGTTGGTCATTTTTCAGGAGATGTTTTTGAGAAGATTAGATAGAAGATAATCCACCTACATAATGAAGGAGGAGGGTCTGACTGCAGAGCCGCAGGTTTACACCCACAGTTTCACTTCAGTGGTTTCAGGGCAGTGGAACGCATGTGAAGCAGGACAGCGCGATTGTGCCATGTAAAGAAGTCCTTAGCGTCCCATTCATATTTCAACCAGTGGCCGGTCTCATCATTTATAACGCCTCTGATATAAACAGCGACTGTTTGGGCTGGTTGTATGTGTTGCCATGCAGATTACCTTTTAGGAAAGGATACTGCTGCCAATATACAAAACAACCATTGGTAACCGGTTAAACTCTAAGCTAAAACACATTACAAAAACATCAGAAACCAAAAGAAACTTAATGGTTTCTGTGGGTTTTTTCAGCAGGGATAAGTTTTAGCCTAAAGCTTAATATTATGATTAGTTTAAACTGCTTAAGGTAAAGTTTTATTCCTGTAAATGTAATGTAAGTGTACATATAAAGCCCCTGTATTAAGGGTAAGTTTGTGAGTTCAGACCATGCCTTCAACATGGTGGTGGTAGTGTAAGGGAAGACTGATTGAGGGAGGGGGGAGAACTCTGAGAACTTGGGCTGGAGTTCTGGGCAGCTTTTGCCTGTAGCTAGAAGGCCAGATCCCCCCTCATAGGGGTAGTAGGGCTGATGCAGGACTGAGGAACGGGGAGGAGATGGGGTGACGATGGGGATTGCGAACACTTCTTCACAGGAAGAGAAGGTGAGGATATGAATTTATAGGGCGTTAGATTGAAAGAAGCAGAGGTTTCAGCCATGCTCTTCCACCCAAACTTCAGTTATAACATAATTACATTTAATTGAGCTACATTTCTACATAACCCATTAGCTTACCCAGACCATTTAAGCTATAGTTTGTGCAATATTTACCCTGTGAATCTCTATATGTGTTCAAACCAAAGTTGTTTTAGCCTAAAGCTTAAAATATAATGTTAGCCCAAAAAATGATTAAAAGCTACAGAAAAAATGGAAGCTCCTAACAACCACCTGCAGGATCTGGTCGACACCAAAACTGCCCCCATCAGATAAACAGCACTTAAAGCTTTCATCTCTGAGAGAGAGGAGAAAATCAAGCTGCTTCAGATCTGAAAACACCCACAGGTGTTTCTGTCCATCCTTCCACTGTGAGAAGACGACTCAGCGCTGTGGGTCTGAAAGGATGTGTAGCTGTCAAGAAGAACCTCACTGAGAAAAGGAGATGGACACATCAAACAAAGAAGCTGAACACTGGACTGACCACCCCAGAGTCTCAACATCACTAAATGTGTTTGGATAAAATGCAACCAACTTCTAAGACTGAACTTTGGAGGTGTGTCTGCAGATTCTTTGAGAGACTGAAAGTGAGTCTCCTGAAAAGAATGGAAGCTGGAATAAAGGTAAAGAGTGACACACCAAACACTTTAAATATAATATTATTTTCAGTTGCTGTGTATTTATTCTGTGAAATACCTTTACTGCCTCTTTACCTGATCCTGAACAATAAAAACACTTGTACTTTTTGACTGGAAATGAAATAAACGAAGGGTCGTCTCTGACTTTTGCACAGTACTGTGCTCGCATGCACTCTAGACACAGACACAAAGGCACCCACAAACACTCAGGATCAGTCAGCAGACCCCAGGCATCGCTGTGAGCTCAGTAAGAAAACAGAACAAGATAGAAGTTTCTAGAAATGAACTACATCAGCTCTGACCTTTCACTGGAACTAGCCTCCAGTCACAGATGCTGCAGACATCTCTCTCTCTCTGCCTCTCTCTCTCTCTCCCTCTCTCTCTGCCTCTCTCTCTCTCTCTCCCTCTCTCTCTCTCTCTCTCTCTCTCTCTCATTCCCTCTTATTAAGAACCACGACAACGCATGAACCGCCCTGAGCAGCTCTCTTCTGTCTGAATATTCATCGCTGTATTAAAATCAATGCAACATATCACAAACAGCCTGCTGTACTACACGAGGACTGTAAATGAACAAGCTGTCTGCTTGCTATGATTAACTCTGAGTGAACATGAAAATGATTTATTGTTCATCTAAAAAACTCAAACAAACTCCCCTCTGAATTGCTTCTACTATACATATAAATTAAGACTAAATAACAAGAGTTTGTTTTGGTCAGATTTCCATAGTCCAGCTCAGTATTACTGTCATTTCCTGTTGCTTCTTGTTATAGAACTTTGCAGACTTTATCTGAAGGCTACATGCAGAGGGAGACCTGCATAATCATTGAATAACGTATTTAAAAATAAATACTTGACCATGTTTTATACTGTTATGAAACATCATTTATGTAATGGAGCTTGTAAGGCATAGGCCTAGATCAGGGGTTGGCAACATGCGGTGTCAGAGCTGCATGCAGCTATTTTACAGCCCTGCTGTGGCTCCACAGCTGAATTAGATTTGTAGGTAAAAATAAAATAATCCTCCTTTACAGTAAAATAAAGCTCTGCTGATCGTTCAACACAGTTTATCAATAAATGGTCTTAAACTCTGGAGTTAATGTAGAACTGCTAATTCACCCTTTAACCCTGAAGATCAGCACAGACTGCTGGTCACCATAGCAACACAGACAAGACCCTCACCTAGCTAGTCGCTAATGAAAAGGCAAAGAGAAAGATTTAAGGCTAACATCGATAATTTGGAGACGAATGGACTTATTTGCGTTTATAATCACTCCAGCTGTTTTTTTCTGATATGTTTCATTTGCAGTGAGAAACTGTCAAACACTAAAAATTCACAAAGCTGAAGTCGGTTTCTCATTCGCCAGCTTCTTGTTTGAATTGTCCAGTTCCACCTTAAATGGTGCCACAGTTACTTTCTGGTACCTCAGGCACCATTTAAGGTGGAATGGGAGAATTTAAACAAGAAGTCTCGTAAAAAGGCAAACATTGAGAGACATTTTACAAGAAACTATTCTACTTTAGGGGAAGAGTTTCCTGCCGGAGATGCGAGAAAAGCGGCTACAGCTGGGCTAAAGCTTAAAGCAGAGCAAAATAAGTCTGCATTTTCATTTATACTTTTTTGGCCTATACAGGTACATTAGCACATACTGAGTCACCTGGACTAGGTAAAATCACTTTCATAGAACTGTGCAAAGTTTGTGCCTAATTCATTTTTTTTACTTGGTAATGATGCTTTATAACAGTGTTATAAATGGAATTCATGTCCCACACTTGATCTTAAGGGCTCTTATGTCATTACAATGAAACAGGCTTCATAAAACATCTAATATCATCTTGTGAATACAGACATTAATGCTTAATAAATACTAAAGTGTTAATTGTTATTTAATGTTTATGCATGTGTCATAAAGTCACTAAGTAGGCAGCCTTCAAATAAAGTGTTTTTACTCCAGTAACTTGTTTCCACAGACCTTATCCTAGTACTGCAAGCCTGAGGAGCACAATTCACAAAGCTATTATTCATCTCAAGCCCCTGTCATGTAGACTGATAAAAGATCATTAGAACGTGTAGCATCCTAGACATCATTTCATTCGGTTGAATTCAATTTAATGTGGTAGTTTGGCAAAAAAAATCTCAGTTACAAAATTTTCCCCTTTACACCAATGTTTGTATGACAAGCTGTTATCTATAAAAATAGACAGATTTTTGTCTATTTTTTACAGATAATAGCAAGTGTATTTGATATTATTCAATAACTGGACAGTTAGAGGAAACTGAGTGGTGAGTCCACTGTGTCTTTCAGTTATCAGAGATTTTCTCATTTAGCTCATGATTTCATATGAAGCTTTTAGCTGAAGTCACTGGTGTGACCCACTTTATTCTGAGGTAATTGTGAAAAAATAGAATACAAATGGATTAAATTCCATATTTTAGTGGATATTCCATGATTGACAACATGTGGTTTGATGCTCTGTAGCAGCCATTCTGTAAAATGCATTGTTCAATAAAAATGTCTCTGGTGTTCCCTTTCTAATGTGTAACACCAATGAGGATTGGTAACACCGGTGACTCCTACGGAGAGATAGAAAAGTGGACGTTTCTGTCGAATGACCCTATCGTAGTTCCAGTGCAGACACCACCTACACTGGGGGTAAAGGGGGGAACTGTGTCTTTATTTTTGTCAGATGTCCCATACGCTTAGTTTAAGTTGCCCTTACCTGTCTGGGGCATCATGGGTGTGTAGACCTTGGGCTCGATGGTGCCCATGGGAGGGGGCAGTAGTGGGTTAGTGAAGCTGCGCATGGGATGGGTGGGCCGTACGCAGGCGGTGGGGATGGTGCGGCTGGGTATTTCCTCTGAGCCTGACGGTTCGGACTGCACCGTGGGGATCAGGGCCGGCTGCTGCTGCGGGCCGAGTGGAGCCGCCCCTTCGGCTGCCATGGCTGAAGAAACACACACAAGAACAAGTTAGACTTGTTACTGCCTTCAAGGGTTTTTATTGGTCACTACATCATTGTGATAAATACTTCTGTGTCCATCTAAATCCAATCTCAGGTAGATTTTAATCCATTTTAGAATATGTTTCCTTGCTCATGTTTTTCTATAATTGTGAGGACATTTGGTGGGGTCATTGTCTTAAATACAGAGCTATTATTTTATAAACAGAATCATTTGTCATCATTTCTATTTATATAGCATGTTCAAAGACTCTTCAGCTTCATATGTACTCACTGGTCACTTTATTAGGTTTGCCTTTATTACTTACCTTTGGTGCTATACCCATTGCCCATTTTATCAGCTTCACTGACCATATAGGAGCACTTTGCAGTTCTACAGTTACAGACTGTAGTCCATCTGTTTCTCTGCATACTTTGTTACCCTGTTTTTTAATGGTCAGGACCCCCACAGGACCACCATAGGGGTTAGTAGTGGGTTAGTGTTCCATGGGCGTGCCACTGGAGTTTCTAGAGTTTTAGGTTAAATTTACTGCCGACCTATGACTAGAACCAAAAATATTCAGCCAACAGCGTCCTGTGGGCAGCGTCCTGTGACCACTGATGAAGGACTAGAGGATGACCAACACAAACTGTGCAGCAGCAGATGAGCTATCGTCTCTGACTTTAAATCTACAAGGTGGACTGACAAGGTAGGAGTGTCTGATAGAGTGGACAGTGACTAGTGTCTAAATCTGTGTCTGATCCACTCGTACCAGTGCAAAACACAATAACACAGACTAAAAGAGAGGCTAGCAAAGTACACACAGCAACAGATGGACTTAAATAAATATTAAATGAAAAAGGAAGAAGAGAGAGAGGATAAAAGCTCATCTCTCTTCAGCTCAACCTGCTTCTCCTCCTAAATCAGAGCTGCAGGTCAATGAGGTATTAAACTATTACTGCAGCTCCAGCAGCGCTCAGCTAACACGGCTAACGGCTAATCCTAAACACTGAACACAATACACCAGAGGAGAGAGACGGAAAAAGAGAGAGACTGAAAGAAAAAGAGTGCTAATTAGATGAAAACATCTGCAGGTATGAATGTGAAGTGAATAGAGGAGAAAGAGAGATCAAACACGAGCGGAGGAAAAGAAGAGAATCAGCAAAAGGAGGCGAAGACAAAAGGATGGAAGATTAAGGGGACATGAAAAATTAAGAATGTATGACAACCAGCAAGAGAGAGAGGAAGAAATAGAGAGAGAGAGAGAGACAGAGGAAGAGAGGGAGAGAGAGAGAGAGAGAAATAGAGAGAGAGAGAGAGGGAGAGAGAGAGGGAGAGAAAGAGGAAGAGAGGAAGAGCGAGAAGTAGAGAGAGAGAGAAAGAGGAAAAGAGGGAGAGAGAGAAGCACAGAGAGAGGTACAGAGAGAGCGAGGGGGGGGGGTAGCCAGAGAGAGAGAGATAGGTAGAGAAGGTGAGAGATGAGAGAGAGAGAGAGACAGAAAGAGAGAGGGAAAGGGAGAGAGAGATGTAGAAAAAGAAGTAAAGAGAGAGAAAGATAGAGAGACAGAAGTAGAGAGAGAGAGAGAAAGAGGGAGAGAGAGGGAGAGAAAAAGAGAGAAAGAGAGAGGAAGAGAAGGATCGAAAGAAGTAGAGAGAGAGAGAGAGAGAGAGAGAGAGAGAAAGAGGGAGAGAGAGGTAGAGAAAGAGAGAGAGAGAAACAGAGAGAAAGATGGGGAGAGAGAGGAGGTGGAGGGGGAGTTGAGCACCTGAGGCGTAGCTGCGGTCCACAGTGAGTGTGGAGAAGGGCATCGGTCTGAGAGTGAATTTGGAGTGGGGGGTGTACCCACAGGTGGGCGAGGGCAGGATGCCCGGATACTGAGTGCTCTCCAGAGTGGGCACTGGGATGGCACTCACCACCGCTGCAGAGAAAATGAGAGAGTGAGAGTTAGTACAGAAAAACAGAACTTAAAATGTTTTTAGACATGGCGGACAGGTCCCTTTCACATTCCCACATCTTTTCTGCTGGACTAGTTGTTTCAGGGTGACGCTGCTTCCACTAAAGCTATACAAATAGCAACAATGACGACCTGAGTGTGTACAACACTCCAGTATTAGAGCTTGAAGCGAAAACAGCCTCATCTCAGTTTCAGTGGTCTGTCAGCTGATGATGAGCAGAGAAAAACGAGTTTAGACAGTTAATAAAGGAATAAACTTTGTCATACGGAGTAAAAGAACCTCTGTGTCTGCATTTCACTGCTGACTAACGTTACACTGAATGTAGTTTGTGCTTTAAAGTTGCTGCTACAGCCACTTTCAGAGGAACAGTTTTCATTTTCTCCCTCAAATATGATCAGTATCTGAGAGAGCGAGAGCTCGGCGGGGAGTAGATGTTCATTCACTGGAGCTGGTGGTTCCACCTTAAATGGTGCCTGAGCCACCAGAACGTAACTGTTGCACCATTTAAGGTGGAACGGAAAAATTAGAATGAGAAGCGACTTCAGCCTCGTGACTTTTTAGTGTTGGACAGTTTCTCGTCGCAGATTAAATGTATCAGGAAACCAGCTGAGAGCTTATAAATGCAAATAATAAACAGTCTACAGTGGCGCTGTGGACCCTGACGACCCTGCGCCCCCTGCAGGTATGTGAGCTTGTTTAGCTTTTTGCCGCTTTAACTAGTTTATTGTTAGCGAGCTCTTTCCACATCTCCAGCTAACATGGCTAATCTAGTGATTTGAATTTTTTCCATGAATCATTTACGTCCCTTATTTAGTCTGGACTCCCACATTGTTGTGTGTTTGGTTCTCCAACAGTTCCGGACACATCCTCCAAGTGATACACCTACTATGCTATACTATACACAATTTAAACATGCTTTTTGTTTATTGCATGAACAGCGTGGCACAACAAGAACAGCAGAATCTGTGGCTTCGTTCCTCTCAAATCTTTACTGAAGCCAAGATCTGAGAGCACTGAAGTGAAATGTGAAGTGAGATGTTGCTCTGAATCCTCTGCTAACACAGCAAGCACGCTAGAGTGAAGTATGAGGGTAAAACCTCTAAGCTGTTTGACCCCCCGCGCTCCTGCGGGCAGTAACTATTCCGCCATCAGCGAGCGAGCGAGCAGAGCTGACCTTGAGACGAAAGCCTGAGGGCCTCGGAGAAGGAGAGAGAGGCAAAACGAGAGAGAGAGAGAGAGAGATAAAGTGTCCGAAATGCTAAGCATGGAAAGATCACTATCTCCTAAACTGCCTCAGACTGGGAGGAAATGATTGCTGACTAATGTGAATGTGTATGTGAGTCTTTTTTTTTTTTATCCTGTCCTCTATCTCCAAAGCTCAGAAGTCAGGCTGGCCTCCTGATGGTGCTGAAGCAGCCTTTATTATGTTTACCATGTGTGTGGCAGAGCTTCTCCGCTGACCCGTCCAGCGTTTCTCCACTCAAATGCAGCACATAGCAATTATTTCACGGCACAGAGGCACAAAATAACTTTTCTCTCCCTCGGATCGTTCCCGTGAATAATACCGAATGCAGCTGCAGAATGAGCCTCTGAATGCCAGAGCGCTTCAAAAGCAACGCTAACGCAAGCAGCACAAGTTACACAACAGATCAATCCATCTATACTGGCTCTAATCTACCAAAGCTCTGAGGATTCGAGGCTCTTTGCGTGTCAGTATGTGTGCGTGCGGCAATATGATTACGTTCTGGGAGGCCCATTTTCCCCAAGCTAGTTCCCTAAACAAGATTAGAACTATATTCAAGCCGAAAGGTCTCCCGAAGGGAAATGATTTCCCTTCACTCAATCGATCCTGCCCAACGTCTTCAAATCCACCATATCTCGCTAACTTCACTCTGCAATCAGGAGTGACATCAGAGAAAAAAGACCGATAAAGTCACACCGGAGCAGCTCAAGCTCATAGGTAACTATGAAACCATCTTTTTGCCCAAAGCGATAGTTTCAAAAATCAAAAATCCCATTTTCTCATTTCTAACTTCCATAATATACATTTGAAAAACATAAGCAGTTCAAATACTTTACATTTACAGCATTTAGCAGATGCTTTTATCCAGGGCAACAGTGTTACTATGCCATACTAACCCTTTCTTGATACCGTTATCAACAAAAAAGCACAGTAAGTACAAAATAGTAGGTACAAATATATACATTTCACCTGGGAAAACTTATTTAGGGTTCACAATTGGACCTTAAAACCACTGCTGGACCTATGAGGGAGTATTTACATTGTTTGTACGACTAGATTATGCAGAAATGTTTGAAAAATCAGCAGAATTCCCCTTTAGGTGCCGATGATATCTACAATATGCTCAGGAAAGCATGATGTTGTGATGTAGTTTATTACGATGCCCTTCGTATCTTTTCAGTACCTTTTTAAATTTTTTTGTTGTTTTTCATGCTCAAGCGCTTGTCTTTATTTTTCCTTTTGATGTTTTATTTTGCTTTCATTTAAAAAGCATATCGAACTGTATTTATGTATGAAATGTGCCGCATAAATTAACACGCCTTGCATAATGATAAATATTGCTATATTGGCCATTCCTGTGGAGATGAGTAACATTTTCAGAAGGTTTAATGTGCGTAATGCATGTTTGCCATTTCATAGATGGGTCATTCTACAGAAATTCTACAGAAACGTCCACTTTTCTATCTATCCATAGGAGTCACTGGTGTTACTGATCATCATTGGTGTTACACATAATAAAGGAAACACCAGAGACATTTTTAATGAACAATGCATTTTACAGAATGGCTGCTACAGAGAATCAAACCACATGTTGTCAATCATGGAATATCCACTAAAATATGTAATTTAATCCATTTGTGTTCTATTTTTTCACAATTACCTCAGAATAAAGTGGGTCACACCAGTGACTTCAGCTAAAAGCTTCATATGAAATCATGAGCTAAATGAGAAAATCTCTGATAACTGAAAGACACAGTGGACTCACCATGTGCTTTTCTTCATAGATCCTCAGAAAACAGGTAAAAGGAAGTCAAGTGATGTCATCAGTGTGACTTTTATTTCAAAATAAGATTTTTTTGTTACGTAGTAACACCAGTGACACGACTCCTGGGGAACTTTCATTATATATTTTATAATATTTATTTGTTTTCTTTATGTCATTTAAATCATATATTTCATAGCCATGTACAGATTATTGCAGTTGAAATTGCAGAAAAACATGTTTTTACCTGAAAATATGGCCTCAGCCTTCACACATGACTGTGAGGACGAGCTCTTCTGTGATGTTTGGAATTCAATATAATTGATTTATAAACCAATATTGCTAAATTGAGGCTCAATAATATGTAATTGTTAAATTAACTTATTGTTTTATTTTAAAATATAAATAAATTGTAATCCTGACATGTTTTCCAAGTGTAATATGTCTGTAAACGTAGGTAGACGTTTCCATAGAGTGACTCAGCTTGCTTAATGTCTGAACTGTGCACTGAATCAACTTTGGTCCATATCTCCACAGTGAAAGGTCTTTCTTGTCAGAACCACAGTATTGATTAGCGATACTACAGTCCACTTTCGGCTGATCTAGGGTTAGTATTTGCCTCTCATATGAATGAATACTTAAATAAGCCTATATTCTAGATAAGCTCGTATATTCAGGGATCATCTGGTGCTCATTCTTGCTTGTCCATTCGCCTCTCTCTCTCTCTAGCAGGCTGGCTCCAGACCATGCTGTCACAGACTAGCCAGCCCTGTGGGCACAGATTCATTACCTCCTTATCACTCCTTATTTATCTCCTTCCCTCTCTGAGCCTCAGCGCTCTGAACAGGCCGCTGTGTTCCAGTGCGTCTGCTGTTGGTTTACAGTGTGTGCACGTGTGTCTTTGTTTCCCCAGCCGTGGCAGCAGAGGTCCCGGTTCCTTTAGTCTTGTGCTGTGACTGATGAGCGTTTGGAACAGACCGGACGACAGGCTGTGACTCGTCAAGCTCTCTATCAGATGTGTTAGTCACAGGAGAAATCTGGCCAAGGAGCTGTGGAGGCCTATTCTACTGCTACAACAAGCTCGAGAGAGGCGCTTTACTCTATATCTACTGACTAACATAAGCCTGTGGCTTTATCCCTCACGGTTATACAGCAAATAGAGCCTGAATAGACATATTACATCATGACTTAGCAATGTATAATATAGGATATTACAAAAAAGATATAATTCATATGAAATACTTCTCATGGGGCTGGAATGATGAGTCACAAAAGTGGATTAGTCATTGGTGATGCTGAGTCTGGAAAAGCTGGGTCATTTACTTAAAGGGGAAAAATGTCACCATCGCTAAACATGCCTACTCACCTCCTACAGTGGCGCCACAACAGACCTAACAGTGAGTTTTTCCAGTTTTAAGACTAAAATCCCCTTCTGACGATGCATCTCGAAGGTGGGAGGAACTTTTAAAAGACTACAATTGCTTTGGGTGGATATTTGAAAGGGGCATGTCTGAAATATCCCCCCTCCGCACTACCTGGCTAATACAGAAGATAGCTAACATTACTGGCTGTGTTTACATGCGAAGATTTTTGCCGACGCGATTTAATACAGGTGTTTATATCTCACTTTACTTAACAATCTGATGGAAAATCTCCGTTTACATGCTCACTACAAGTAATCTGATCCAAAATGACATGATGTAGACGTTACCATGACAACCAGCATCACGTGAGTCCAGTCAGAGTGAGACGAGCAGCAGTGAGCAGGGCTTGTGTTTTTAATGACTTGAAAATGATGTCAGACTCAGGAAAACGTCCTTCGCATGTCCTTATTAAAGAAGGCCGAGAGGAAGACGTCGTGTTCTGAGACACATAAGCTGGACGTCCGTCCCACCGCCGTCTTTTAAAGACCAGAGCAGAAACTTCGTCTCCTCTGCAGACCAGTTTCTGCTCCGCCATGTTGAACGGTATAAACTTTCACTATGACACGACGAACATGATCAGAACGGACTTAAACTTTCCGATAGGGAATGTAATCAGATACAGGCGTTTACACGGTTATTATACTTCTATTTAACAAACTATTTACAGGATTACCCACCTCGGCCAATCAGATAGAGACTGTATTCAGTCTATTCAGATTGAGGTGTTTACATGGGCGTATTCTATTCTGATTGAGCTATTAGGTCGGATTATTAACAGATTATTAGGCTGCATGTAAACGTGGCTACTGGTAGGGATTCCCAATAGTTATTTGACATAATACGCAATGCATGCTGGGTGCTGCAGTGAGTGAACACTGTGGGACAAAAATGCAAAAAAAAAGATACAAAACCCAGGCGATATGGCCTCGTTTGTTGCACCATAAAGAAGAAATTGCTTGTTGCACAGGCAACATGTGATCTAATCATCTGATTCTAATTAAGTCCTAATGATCTTTTCTATAACTATGTTTTATCACCTGTCTGTAAGGCACTTTGAGCTGCCACTGGCATGAAAAGTGCTATATAAATAAAATAATAATAATAATAATAATAATAATAATAATAATAATAACAATAATAATGATAATAATAATAATAATAATAATGATAATAATAATAATAATAATAATAATAATCATTATTATTATTATTATTATTATTATGTCTTCATTAGAACTATACTTGATTGATTAATCAATTACAGAAATAATAATTAGTAAAGAAAATGCATATTTGAATTTACACTGAACACTGCAGTCCAGGGACACATTGGCATGGTCACACAGAATGTCCCTGCTGAGTCATCACTCACGTGTATTGCTGGGTTGAGAGTCCATAGGAATCATCATTTTGGTGCGCGTGGCCCTCCGGGCAGCCAGGGAGCGCTCTAACGTGGATATGCTGCTTGAGGCTTCATCCGCATCACCACCTGGAGAAGACCGAAGAGTTCAAAGGAAATGTTTGGCCGAGCTACTTCTTTAGTTTTGCTCTACTGTTATGCTATGTATCTATGCTAGTTGATATTAATAGAAATCTATTGCATCAGAATTGTTTACAATGGTGGTGATAGGAACCAGACATCTAAAGCATGTAAATCTACTAAAAACTCCCTCACAGTATGTTTTTTATATATATGAAATGGTTATGAATATATACACTGTCTCATGCCTGAAACATTGATTTATGATAGTTCTGAGATAATTGCTTGGCATAAAGTGTGTTTTTTTCAGATTCATTATTGGTGGAGATTTACCACTATTTTATTACAATAAACACAGCATATAAAACTCAGGAGACACGTGTAGGTTCACTGGTGGTTTTGGATAGTAAATAAAATGGCTATATTTGCAGGTAGACATCACAAACCCTGGTTCTTATCACCACACACTCTACAACTAAGCATTTTAAATCTAACCACTTTTTAGCCGAACATGTCTAGGCTGATCAGTTCTATTTGGGGTGAGGGGACAATAGAGTAAATTACATTTTTCACCAGAATATCCCTTTAAACAAGTGTGGAAGACAGCCAGGGATTTATTCAAAAGGCCTTTACAACTGCTAAAGACTGTTTTGTAAGTAAAACTACCCAAAAAATAAAAAAAAATGAAAAAGTCCTGAGGGTGGGCAGTCCGGTCAAGAAAAGCAGCGCTTCCAAAGGCACCAATGATTTAATAATTGCTTTGGAGGCATAATAGAAGAGAAAGATCAAACAAGCCGCACTGCAGGGTTAATTGGTTTGAGAGAATGTAACGCATTTCATTATATTTAATATAAATGATGTGAGAAAAAGCTCTGTTTTCTAAAGCCGTGTTAACATTTATGAAGTCAAAAGAAAGAAAGCACTGTGGCAGTGGACGCTGACCTGAGTGACTACTTTTGCTGCCCATCTGGCTCTCTGATTGGCTGTGGCTGACCGGAGCAATCTCTTGACAGCTCTGGATAGGTGATTCGCGGCCAGAGGGGGCGGAGCTTGAGGGCTTCTCAATGTTCTTCAGCTCCATCTCCTCGTGGTGGATCCACAGGTCAGGAGGCCGAAGGTCTTTCTGACTTCCTTTCCTCTTCCCTGCACTGTGAGTGGCCCGTTTTCTGCAGAGAGAGAGAGAGAGTGAGACAGAGAGAGAGAGAGAGAGAGAGAGAGAGAGAGAGAGAGAGAGAGAAGCAAGAAAAACATAATAAACATAACATAAATTACATTTATGTTATTTAACCATTGCAAAATATGCTGTAAACTTGCATCTTACAGCAGTACCACAGTCTCTAGGCAAAGCAAGGCAAGGCAAGTTTATTTATATAGTACCTTTCATACACTGCTGCCGTTCAAAGTGCTTCACTAAAGAGAGAATTCAGAGTCTGAGTTGTTTAAAAAAAGTAAACATCAATAGAAACACATAATTAAAAACAACATTAAAAAAAAAACATAATTAAAACATGATTAAAACAAAACATTGAAAAGAGAAAATAATTAAAGTGAGATTAGAAATTAAATTAAATTAATCAAATCAATTAAAATAATCACATTAAAATTAAAAGTTAGATTAGGGGGAAAAAAAAATAAATAAATAAAAACTTGTGATTTTTGGTTTTACCCCTTAAATGGCCAGAGCCCAAAGTTTTATTACACACTTCTATAACCTAAGAACAGCTCAGGATGTTTGCATTGAAGTCCCTGTAGTTCCTGAATAATAAGACATAGTATGTAATAAGAGATTTTAAGGGGTTAAAGACAAAGAAAACCCCCTTCTGATGATGTTTCTTGAAGATGGGAGAGAAACCACAACTGCTTTTGCAGCTGTATAAGTGTCAAATAATCTTCAAATCATCCTGCAGAGAACGCATTACCCAAACAACAGAAACGACAAAGAGGACAACAAGCTAAAAGCTAAAGTTAGCAATGTAGCCGGCTATCTAGATACCTTACATCTGAAAGAGAAAAGAAAAAATCAGTCAATTTTGTGCTGAATGAAGATAAAATCAATATTTTCTTTTTGGAGTTACATTAATGCTAGTTTGGTTGTATTTATTAGTTTTTATTAGTAGCTGATCTGGCAGTCATGATTGGTTGAAATCACAGGCATCCTAACGTATTTGCGTAATGCATGCTGGGTATTGTAGTGCGAGAACACTGACAAACAAAAACACGAACTCTCTGTTGTTTGAGTGAACCAAAAATGGAGTCAGCCTTATTTCTGATCATAGAAAATTACAGTGACCGAATATTTAAGGTTATGAGAATGAATAACCACTATTTTTGCTAATAAACATAAACAACGCCTGTCCTCAGTCCACCTAAGTATGAGTAAGTAGCAGCTAACTTAATTTGCCTGCTCCAATTGCTTCCAATGCACCTCAGTAATTAAAGTGACTTTACATGTGCCTCCACTGTCACGACGAAAGGGCACTTTACCTCATTTAGGTGTTAGCACTTAGCGTACCCACAAGACACTGGTTCATCACTGAGGGCTACAGACGTTTAACAGCGCTGTTCGGCGCAGCAGGGCTAACTCATCTCGTTAGCACTATGGCAGGAATAATGAGTCAGTCTGTGGGTGGCCTACTCCTGTCGGCAGCCATCAGATCAGCCTGTGGCTTAGCTAAGGCTCATGGCTAATGACCAACAAGAAACAAGGAGACACAGGGCTACCTGGATGCTAATGCTAAGGCAGATGATAGCACAAGAAAATGCATAATAAAGACTCGTATACTGTGATAATGAGCTGTTCACTTAAAGATTAGGAGTTGTCAAATAAGATATTCCACCAATAGAGAAGGTATTTTGTCCTGCAAATAATACAAGCACAAAATTTTTAAAAGTTATGAAACATAATAGTTTTTGAAATGTGTTCCTAAATGGTGGCAATGTTCATGTGCATTATTAGCTTATTTTAAGCAACAACAATTAAAATAAAATAATGAGTTGTTGTGTCCCAATATTTGTTCAACCCTGTTCCTGAAATCTACACACTTAAAAATGATGGTTCTTCAAAGGTTCTTTAGTAAAGTAAATGGTTCTATATAGAACCATGGACACTCTTTGTATGATTAAAGTGTTCCTTGCATCATGAAAGGTTCTTCAGATTAATGGGGAATTTTTTTCCCTTAGGAAATAAACAGCAAATTGTTGAAAAAAAATCTAATCTAACTGCCACAAATGATTTCACAAAGAACATCTATCACACATTTCATACAGACTCAGATACATACTAGCACACATACATACACACCTTAGCAACCACCTGGAATGCTACAGCAATGACCTAGCAGCTCCTTAGCTACTACCTGCGATTTCACAGCAGATGGCCTTGCAACACTTTAGCAACCACCTGGGACAACATAGCAATGGCCAATCAACCTTAGCCTAGGATTCCATAGCAACAGCCTAGCAACACATTAGCAACCACCTCGCATTCCATAGCAATGGCCTAGTAACATCTTAGGAATACCTGGGATGCCATAGCAACAGCCTAGCAACACTTTGCAACTATCTGGGATGATTTAACAACCGCCGGGGATTTCAAAGAACACCTTAATGTTCACCTGAGCAACTACTTGGGATTTCACAGCAATTAACCACCTGGTATTCTATAGCAATGGCTTAGTAATTTCTTAGTAAATACCTGGGATATGATAGCAACAGCCAAGCAACTCTTTTGCAGCTACCTGGGATGAAACAGCAACCACCCGGGATTTCAAAGAACACCTTAAAGTTCACCTTAGCAACCACCTGGGATAACAAAGCAATGGCCATGCAGCACCTTAGCCTAGGATTTTTAGCAACAGCATAGCAAAACCTTAGCAACCACCTGGCATTTCATAGCAATGGCCTAGTAACATTTGAAGTTCACCTTAGCAATTACTTGCGATTTCACAGCAATGGCCTTCAAACACCTTAACAACCACCTGGAATAATATAGCAATGCCCAAGCAGCACCTTAGCCTAGGATTCCATAGCAACAACTAAGCAACCACCTGGTATTCTACAGCAATGGCCTAGTAACTTCTTAGCAAATGCCTGGGATACCACAGCAACAGCCAAGCAACACTTTTGCAACCACCTGGGATGACATAGCAACCATCCAGGATTTCAAAGAACACTCTGAAGTTCACCTGAGCAACTACCTGGGATTTCACAACAATGGCTTTGCAACACCTTAGCAACCACCTGGGATAACCTTAGCCTAGGATTCCATAGCAACAGCTAAGCAAACCACCTGGTATTCTATAGCAGTGGCCTTGTAACTTCTTAGCAACTGCCTGGGACACCATAGTAACAGCCAAGCAACACTTTTGCAACCACCTGGGATGACATAGCAACCATCCAGGATTTCAAAGAACACTCTGAAGTTCACCTTAGCAACCACCTGGGATAACCTTAGCCTAGGATTCCATAGCAACAGCTAAGCAATCACCTGGTATTCTATAGCAGTGGCCTTGTAACTTCTTAGCAACTGCCTGGGATACCATAGCAACAGCCAAGCAACAGTTTTGCAACTACCTGGGATGACATAGCAACCACCTGAAACTTCAAAGAACACCTTAAAGTTCACTCACAAACTTTCCCCTTTTCATCTTTCATCTCCTCAGAAATATCACTTAATGGATGTTTTGACTGGAAATGAAATGAAATAAAGGATGGGCTCTATCTTTGCACAGTACCTTTACCTATTAATTTCATGTATTTAAAAAAAATAACGTGGGGGGAAAAAAGGGACCCTGTTGGTGAAATGTCTCAAATACACTCCATGCTAATACAGCCCACCTAAACACAGAGGAAGAGAGAGAAAACAGGGAAAGAGGCTGATGTTCACGGAGGGCAAAATCAAACAGAATGCTTAATGACCCGTACATCTGTTGACAATGTGTTTCCAAAAGCGAAGGCAGGCAACATGCCCCGAGAAATCTGTTCTCTACCTCCTGAACACAAGCCAAAGCAACACTTAGCATAATGTGGTGGACAGAGTTGAGCTGTATCGCAATGGGTTACACTACCGGAGTGCCTATAGGGAACAACTAAAAGGAGCAAACGTGGCATTTAGATAGACTCAGAGAAAACAGACGTCACCAGCATGTCTCATCCATGCGTCATACTATGAACCCTTCAACCTCAAACCTTCAACCAGTAAGTGTGTTCGAGAGTCAATAGAGGAGAGGAAGGAATGATGAAAAGGAAGTGACACAGAGCGAGAGATGAAAGAGAGAGCAAAACAAAGAGAAAAAAGAAAGACTCACTTCCTCTGCTGGGCGGAGGTTCGTCGTGTGCAAATAAGAGCCACTATGACCACGACCACGATGGTGACGGCGCCCACAGACACTACGATGATGACCAGCAGGTTGCTGTTCTTCTGAGGGGTCACGCTGCCATGGGGGGGCCGCATCTGACCAATGGGGGGCTCTGAAATAGAAACATGAAGTGGCAAACGTTGAACATAGCTTAATAGGTACTATGCAAAATTTCAGGCTTGTATCCTGAGATGTAGAGGCTTTTAAAAAGCATAGTAGAAGTATGTTTATAGAGCAGCATTGCATCACTCAGCCTCACTGGTTTCACAGAATTCACAATTTTGTGTCCCTTTTGTGATTTCGTGAATCAATGTTCTCTCACTACAATACCCAGCATGCATTATGCAAACGTTGTACAACTATTTGGCCCCAAATCCCAAACTGTGATGGAGAAATCCTGCTTGGAAAAAAATATATATTTTAAACAGCACTCAAATATTTGTCCTGAACTGTAGTTTTTCAAAAGTTTCTCCCACCTTCAAGTTACATCATCAGGAGGGTGTGTTACTAGTCTTTAAACTGGAAAATCTCACTGTACAGACTTGTGTGCCTCCCTGTAGGAGGCAGTTATCCATGTTTACAACAGATGAAGCAGTAGTGAAAGATTTCATTTTTCATTGTCACTTAAATTTTAGATTTTATTAAACTTCAAGATGCTTGTAAGTTTTAATACTTAATAGATTAGGTCGGTAGATTATCAGTGTGTCTTACTATAGAAGCTCTTTTAAGGCAGATTTTAAGGCAGCCAGACTATGTATTTTAAAACAGCAAATCTTGTTTACAGTGCAGCATATGGTCGATGATTATGAGCGATGGTTTTAATACATATCCCTATACTTAGAAACAAAAAGAAAACCTATTGATTGCAAACATCCTTATAATAGAAGCCAATGGGCAGGTGATGAAATGGCTATAAAATTGCTGAAGCAACTGCCCACTGGCTTCTATTATAAGCATATTTTGACCACAAGGTTTTCTGCTCTTTTCTAAGAACTACAGAAGTCCGGAGAGGCCATGAGCTGTTGTTATCATTTTCAGGATTGTTTTGTTGCAATACCGAGTTAATTATCTTGAGATCTCAAGATAACAACTTTGTTATCCTAAGATCACAAGCTAATTAACTTGTTATCTCAAGTTACCAACTTTGATATCTTGAGATCACAACATAATTAACTTGTTATCTCAAGAGATAACAAGTTAATTGTGAGATAACAAGTTAATTAACTTGTTATCTAAAGATAACAACTTTTGCTATCTTGAGATAACAAGATAACTATTTCGTTATTTCATGATAATACTTGAGATCTATCTGAGATAACAAATTAATTATCTTTTTATCTCAAGATTACAATACAGAAAATTAGAACTACCTCGTGGCCTCTCTGGACTTCCATAAAGAACAGAAAAATGCATTGAAATTATTCTTTGTGGCAACTGACCCAAGCTACAGACAAAGCTACGGAAGTATTGCTATAAGTAGTGCTATAATTTTCTGGATTGTTATCTTGAGATGACATGATAAGTAACTCTTTATTTTTTTGTCTCAAAAATAACAATCCAGAAAATTATAAAATAACAAGCCAGAAAATTACCTTCTGTGCAAATTAGACATGTACAAAACAAGTACAAAACAAAATGGCATTATAAAGATATACAGAGGACAACTGTCAAAAATCAAGCCAAATCTTTAGAATATGTTGTTGGTTCAAACACAATCGTACATGTGGAAAGTAAAATCAGATCAACAAATAAGCCACAAATCAACTCTCTATCAGAAATGAAGACAGAATTAAAGACAATCACATTTGGACTACGACATGAGAAGATGAAAAAGTCTAAAAATAATTTCCAAATCATAACCACTTACTCAAGGATGTTGATAACATGAATTCAGAACAATTTAATTACAAGCATAATTTTATGACAATCTGTCACTTTACTTTAAATGAGTTAGTACTTTGGGCTGTGAAAGATCCTTCAGATGCGAAAGGCTCTCGACAAATGAATAGGCTCAGCTCTTTTAAATTCCAGCGCCGCACAAGAGAGGCATAAATTACTCTCCACGATCAATTTCAGATTTGAGGCCAAAGATAAAAGGCGCAGTTTGGAGGCCTTGGTCTTGAACAGGCAGCATTGGTTCCCCAGTGAAGCACACAATCAATGAAATGCATAATAGGAGAAAAATGCTCTGCTCTATGAGTCAGCGCCGTTGCCAGTCGAAGCAAACAAGGCTAACTACTTGTTAAGTGGCTTCATTACTTAAAGGTAGCGCTTGTTAATCAAGCCTGATGAGATGCTAAAATGAGTTAATCACTAGTTAACACTGCAATATGCCACACCATCTTTATAAACATACGATTATATGTTGTGACATCTGCCATGGCCTCCACACTGAGGAGCTTGGAGGAGGTGGCGGGGTTGACATGCAAAGTGGCTCCTGGAAGGTGCCATGTTCGAGGCTACAAACAGACTGTTGGGGTAGTTGTTGCTGTTGTAGTTGCTACTAGTGAAGTAGTTGTCGTTTGTTAAATTATGTGGAGGGTGGGCCTTTGTGTGAGTTTGTCCACCCTCAACAAATGTCACATCTTTCCACGTTACCCCCTCCCTGGTTTTGTGTTGGGGTAGCACTAGATTTGCTAGTGACCAGCTATGACGGTCTATGCTGGTTTTTCTAGCAGGGATAGACGTGCTAATGTAGTTTCTGACATGTTATCTTTAGAAATACACACTAAAAACAGAAGCCATCTGAAGTCTGGCATATCATTTTGTACATTTCAGATTCACATTTGCATACATTTACAACCCTGTTTCCAAAACAGTTGGGACACTATGTAATGTGTCATGTATAAAGACAACAAATAAAATGTTGAAACTGAGAAATTTTATTATTTTTTTGAAAAATATATACCCATTTTGAATTTGATGCCAGCAACACATTTCAAAAAAGTTGTGATGGGGGCATTTTTACCACTGTGTTGCATTGCCTCTTCTTTTAACAACACTCTCTAAGCATTTGCCTAGAGAGTATGGATGGTTTTCTAAAACCTATACATGTCATTGATTTATATTTTTTATAGATATATAAGATTTTTTTTTATTTGTTGGACCACAGGGTGCTTTTATACTTCACCTCAGTTCATCTTAAATGAGCTTGGGCCCAGAGAAGGAGGCAGCATTTCTGGATCCTCTTTATGTATGGTTACTTCTTTGCATGGTAGAGTTTTACCTTGCATTTGTAGATGTAGCAACAAACTGTGCTCACAGATAATGGTTTTCAGAAATGTTCCTGAGCCCATCAGATTCAAACTGCACATATATTTAAAAAAAAAAAAATTTCCAAAAAGTTTCAGCATTTAATATGTTGTCTTTGTACTATTTTCAATTTGATACAGGGGTTTCAATGATTTGCACATCATTGCATTCTACTTTTATTTACATTTTACAAAGTATCCCAAATGAGGTTGTAATTTGCGTAAATTAATGTAATTTGCGTAAATTAATGTAATTTGCGTATTTTAATTTCATCAAGTCTCATTGCACTGTCTTTGCTAATTAACAGTAAAGAAATAACGAACCTGCACAATTTAGCTTAACCTATAATGACCAAGCTAACCTGAAAAATTCATTTTCACACAAACAAAGACTCATAGCTCCTTTTCAAGAGGCTGCTACAATGGAAAGCGCTTCAAAACCACCTTTTGTCTATACAGTGCGGGAACAGGTGTGATCAGCGCTAGTATGCTAGCCTGACCGTGAGGTAGATGGTGAGAAGCCTTCCAGCTTTTCTCTCTCATAGCACCTGTTCCTGCCCCACAGTGTTTGAACTAGCCTGCCTCTCTCTCCTTTCAGCTCCTCGTCTGGCTGATGGCTATTGTTTGATTGCAGCTGCGGTCAGCACAGCCTGGAGGACAATGACATCACATCTCTGATGTTGTACTATTAGCTAAAATAGCCTACGCACACAAAATCTCAGATGTTGTGTTATTAGCTAAACTAGCCAGCACACACACACACACACAACCTATTAACAATGCCAAACACATTCAGCAACAGTTTTGTCACTTTGATGGCCCGAAATGACTTTAGCCCAAAATGACTTTTTTTGAGAAACTACTGAAAGCCGTGTAATAGGCTAAGATACCTCAGGATATTGCGATGCAAAACACTTTGGACCTCAAAGGTTTGTCTGTACAGCGTTGGAATAGGTGTGACTAGCTCTTGAAAGCATGCTAGCCTGACCGTGAGGGAGACGCTGAGAAACCTTCCAGCTTTTCTCTTTCATAGCACCTGTTTTCGCCCTGGAGAGTCCGATCTAATAGGCTCTCTCCCTCTCCTTCCCCCCACCTCTCTCTCTCCTCGTCTGGCTGATGGCTATTGTTGGAACGCAGCTGCGGATGGCGCGGCCGCGAAAAATAGCCTGGAGGACAATAGTGTAGCATCAGGCCAAATGGACGACCATTGCCATGACGGCTGAGCCCTGCAGCGCGAGGCTCCCCTCTCTCTCTCTCTCTCTCTCTCTCTCTCTCTCTCTCTCTCTCTGCGGAGGTAAGTGCGAGGGATGGACGTTCACCCCGCCCTCTCCTCATCTCCATTCCCTCGCTTCCTTTGACTGAAAGCAGGCTTGGAGTAATGAACGGCCGAGACAGAGCGAGAGATTCAAGGTGTCATATGCTCAACCTCACTAATACAGGGGATAAATGACAGATAGACTGCCACTCTGCACTCCGAGCACAGCCCATTACTGGGTGTGTGGGTGTCTCTCTGTCTCTCCAGCCTCTTTATGAGCCACAAAAGCCCTGACCTGGCTTTTCTAGTCTTGCAGGTGAAAGCTCTACAGACTGAAGTGACACACGGTGCTGATAAGTGCAGCTAGGCTTCGGCATCCACCTCCTGCTGCAGACAAAACAAATCTACAAGTGTTTACACCACAGCCGGCAGCAGACATGACAAGCTGAAGTTAGCTTTTTTTTTTGACAGCCTCTTGCTGGAATTTTCTATTCCATTTTAAGTGTACAGGCGCCAGTATGCAACTGCTGCACCTTTTAAGGTGAAACGAAAAATTCCAATAGAAGCTGGAGAATAGAAACTCATCAGGCAGCTATTGCATAAGAA